TCTCTTAGTAATCTGTCTATGGTGTTTATAGCATGACTGGATGCCATGGTGCATTCATCAATAATGAGAAGTTGGGCCTTTTTAATAGTTTTAGCAACTTCACTGTTTATATTGAGTCTAGAAATTAAAGTTTCATTTAATGGAATCAGTAATTTATATTGGGAATGAAAGGTGCTTCCACTGAGAAGTAAATTTGCAGCAATTCCTGTAGACGCCGTGGGTAAAACAGTACCACCACGACCTCTAATATAATGTATTAAAACTTTATACAGATATGCAGGTGAATAGGATTCCTAGCTGGCAGGCCCCTGACAGCAAGCTGGCCACCTGTCGATTCCGTGAGGAATGGGGCTCCCTCTTCCCTCCTGTCAGGGTCCGGGGTGCAGGTGAATGGGGTTCCTGGCTGGCAGGCCACTGACAGCAAGCTATCCAACAGCGGATTCTGTGAGGAATGGGGCTCCCTTCTCCCTACTGTCAGGGTCTGGTTTGAAGGCTGGCCACGCCCCCTGTTGGGCCAGACCCACAGTTCTACCCACAGCAGCAACCCAGGACTGACTGCCGCTGGGCGCTCTTGGTGCTCCGAGGGTGGGTTCTTCCTTCAGGCCTCGAGGGAAACAGCTCGGGGAGTGTGCAGCCCTTGGCAAGGCGACCCAGGACTCAGTGTGTCCAGCTCCGAGGGCAGGTTCCTGCCTGAAACCTTGCCCTCATGGGAAACAGCTCGGGGAGGGCACAGCTGTTGCCAAGACAACCCCTGCAGGACTGACTTCCTTCCAGTTGGTCAAGCCTCAGATGTGACGCATTACACCCAGGGTTTTTATATAAATAGATGCCACGGAAATTTTTTTCTGCACAGAGTAGAGAGCCCCATAAATAATATATTTTTACCTTAAAAAGTCCTGCTTCCTTTCACTTTGTATTTGGATAGATGCATCAATTTTATGGATGACATGCTATTGGAAAGAACTGTGAATGCAATGAAGAGTACCATCAAATCAAAAGGAACAATGCACTAAAACTATCAAGATGACATTTGATAGGGATTGATATAAGATCAAGCACTTTTATCTAAAAATGAATCACCAAGCTACAGAATGTGAAGAAAGTTTAACAATAACCTATGGAAATGACGTAGGAGTTTTACCTGAAAGCAAGATTAACATAGGCAGCTGTCAAACAATAAAAAAATGATTTATCTTAGATTATATCATTAGAGTAATGGGATCTACAAGAATAATTTTCCATCAGAGAAACATGCTTCCCTAGAAGGCATATTACAATATTTAGGAGGTGAAGAATGCATTGTCAAATACAAAATTGAAAACTTAAAACAGAGAAAAAGAATATTTTGTCCCCTTCTATAGGTTGTCTTTTCAATTCATTGGTGGTTTCCTTTGCAGTGTGGAAGCTCTTTAGCTTAATGTAGTCCCACTTGTTTTAATTTTTGTTGCCTGTGCTTTTGGTTACTTATGTGAGAATTCATTGCCAAGACTGTTACCAAGGATTTTTTTTTTCTGTTTTCTTCTAGGAGTTTTATGGTTTCATGTCTTACATTTAAATCTTTGATCTATTTTGAGCTAATTTTTGCAAGTGGAATAAGGGGCCCAGTTTCTTTCTTTTGCATGTGGTTGTCCAGTTTTCCCACCACCATTTATTGAAGAAATTGTCCTTTCCCCATTTTATGCTCTTGGCTTCCTTGCAAAAAATTACTTGACCGTACATGTGGGGGACTATGTCTGGGCTCCCTATTCTGTTTCACTGATCTATGGGCCTGTTTTTAATACCAGTATCATGCTGTTTGATTACTATAGCATTGTAATGTAGCTTGAAATCAGTGTGATGCCTCTAGCTTTGTTGTTCTTTTACTTTTCAATTACAATTTACATTCAATATTATTTTGTATCAGTTTCAGGTGTACAGCATAGTGGATAGACAGCATATATTTTACATAGTTATTACAATATTATTGACTATATTCCCCTATGCTGTACTTTACATCCCTGAAATTATGTTGTAACTACCAATTTGTACTCAGTCCCTTCACTTTTTTCACCCAGTTCTCTAACCCACCTCCCCTCTGACTACCATCGGTTTGTTCTCAGTATCAATGAGTCTGTTCCAATTTTGTTTGTTTATTCTATCTGTTAGATTCCACATATAAGTGAAATCACAAGATATTTGCTTTTCTCTAATTTCACTTAGCATAATACCCTCTAGATCCATCCATGCTGTCGCAATGGTAAAATTTCATTTTTTTTTTTTTTCATGGCTAACTGGGTCATGCTCTGATGTGATCTGATGCCTGCCTCTGGGCATGTTAGTTCTGGAGCCTCATGGGAGGAACTCCAGTATAGATCAATGTCAGGCACTGCCTGTGACCCATCCTGGGCTACCCATTTGGAGCTACAAAGTGATCCACAGGTTGTGGCTTCCTCTGCTGGGGCTGGGTGCATGTGGAAGGGAACAAGCTGTAGACCAAGCACAGCTTCCACCATCACTGAGCCTAAAGGCAGATCAGCAAAAGGCCCAAGGCCCTCCAAGATCTGCCTCCACCTGCCAGCTGTTCCACCACCCCTTGAATCTTCCTGGACTCCATGGAGGGCTTTCTAAGAAAGTCTGCACAGTGGGCCCAAGCTGGCTTCAGCCAGCAGTCTCCTCTGCATGGTAGAGTTTGCAGGAAGGGACCACTGAGAGTTGGGAGGATGTGGCTAGTGGATTTCCTATGTTGGGGGTGACTCTGGTCAGGCACACAGCTCAGTCTCTCCACATGCCCATTGCCAATATGCCGAGTCTGCCCAAACCTTCTTAAGAGCTCTCCCGGGAAGTCTGCATTGCAGGCCCAGACTGGCTGCAGCCAGTAGACTCCTTCACAGGGTGTAAACTCAGCAGGGTGTGGCCACTTGAGTGGGGAGAGTGGGTGTACTGGATCTCCTGTGTGGGGTGATCTAGTCAGGCCCACAAGTGTGTGTGTTGGGGAGGAATGGCCCTCACCCCAGAGTCACACAATTTAGTCTCTCCCTGTGCCTATCTCGGACACTTCCTAAGACTGCCCAGTCCTCCTCAAGAGCTCTCCAAGGAAGCCTGCATCATGTGCTCAGACTGGCCATAGCCAACAGACTCCTCCACAGAGCTCAAGCTCAGCAGGGCGGAGCCACAGGGAGTCAGGAGGATGGGGATAGTGCATCCCCCAGGCTGGTGCCCTATGGAGGGGAGTACTTGACCCAGGAAAGATGGTGTCAAGATGGTGTCTGTGGGCAGTGGAAGTGAGACTCAGCACAGGGACCTAGGTGGCTGTCCCTCTAACCCTCTCCTCGGGAACACACAACCCAGTCCTACTCTGTGACTCCAGTCCTCTCAGAGCTGCCTTTTCTCCGCCAGAGCCCTGGGCGAATAGCTGAGAATGAAATGATGTGTATGGGTCCTTTAAGTGGGCATCTGGGTTTCTAACCGTCTCCCATCTCATCCTGGTGGGCAGAATCCGCACTGATTTTCACAGCCAGGTGTTATGTGGGCTCCTCTTCTTGGCTCTGATGCTCTGGGTTGTGCTGAAATCCCACACTCCTCAGGGGGGGACCTTTGCAGCTGAGACATCCTTCCAGCTTCTCACCCTCCCCCTCTCTGCCCTTCCTACTAGTCTCTATGTGGCTTCTGTAAATCCTTGCTTATAAAACTTCTGTTCAGCTGGTCTTCAGTTGTTTATTCAGGTTGGTTTTTCTATAATTTAGCTGTAATTCTGATTTGGTCCTGGGAAGAGATGAGTGTAACGTCCACCTACTCTGCTGCTATCTTTGGAAGAATCTAGCTTTGTTCTTACTCAGGATTTCTTTGGCTCTGTGGGGTCTTTTGTGGTTCTATACAAATTTGGGGATTGCTTTTTCTATTTCTGTGGGGGAAAAAAATGCCACTAGAATTTTCATTGGGATTGCATTGACTCTGTAGATTGCTTTGGGTGGTATGAACATTTTTCACAATATGAATTATTCCAATCTAAGAACAGGGTATCTTTCTGTTTGTGTCTTCTTTCATCTCTGGCATCAGCGTCTTGTAGTTTTCAGTGAACAGGTCTTCCACCTCCTTGGTTAAATTTATTCCTAAGCATTTTATTGTTTTTGACGCAATTGTAAATGGAATTGCTTTCTTGACTTTTCTTTCAGATAGTTTGTTGTTAGTGTATAGAAATGTAACTGATTTTTATATAATGACTCTGCATCCTGCTACTTTACTGAGCTCATTTATTAATTCTAACAGTTTTTTAGTAGAGTCTTTAAAGTATTTTTATATATAAACTTATGTCATCTCTCATTAGTAAGACCAATCTCATTTCTTCTTCTGGTTCTGCTTTACACTTAACTCATTCATTTATAAATGTTTATTGAGCATTTACTATGCGACATGTATTAGGCACAATGAGGATAAAGTGGTGAACAAAATTGCCATGTAATTCCATAAGCTCTCCCTACTTCAAAAAGCCTACTTCTCAGCTCCCTTCTTGCCTGGTTTCCTGAGCCAGTCCTGAGGCAAATCCTCAATTTTCTTATCTGGTGAAATTTTACAGTAAGTCAGCTTCCCAGATCTAGTGGCTAAGTGATAACTTTCCTGCTCCCAAAATGCATCACCACGAAACTCCATTGTTAGGTATGGGAGCCCTGGAGAGAGCTAACAAGTAGTTCACATCTGTATAAGCATTCTGGTCGTTAAAATACTGGGATACACAAAAATGCTGCTCTCAGGCTATACTGAAATCCAGAAAAGTGAGGTCATTAAAGTTGGACTTTAATAGAAAATGATATTCTTGCCTGAGTCTGAAGGGAACAAAACAAGCATAAATTTAATGAAAAAGAAGTCTCTACTATCTGCAACTGATCATACACTAAACTAAGAAATTTTCACCACATCCCGCTCCAGGTGAGAATAGGAACTTTAGACACCCTGTTTGAGAAGGCACAGGGCAGGTGGCAATAGCCACACCTGACAACACCTCCTCCTCCAGCCTCCCCATGATCCAGCAACTAAAGGACTAATGCCAACATAGGAGGGGGCTTTAGGACCCTGTCCCAGCATTACCTGGGGCCATTCTGGTTCAATTCTCCTGGTAATACCCAACCCTACATAGTCATAGTCTGAGAACACAGAACTTGGCATGTATGTGTGGTGTGGGTAAGCCAGCCTACCATCTGATCTCTCCTGGCGCTGATCTCCGGTCTCCTGAAACAACTGGACCTAAGCATGAAGAACAGAGATGATGCCTTTTGGTCTTCAAGGAATGAAACAGAAAGACTTTGCAGCCCAGAATAACTTCTAGAGAAATGCAGGGGAATTGGGAATCAATTTCCCAGGTGCTACCTGGATGTGGGGTTGGTAGGGGCAGTTTGAAAAGGTGAGACCGGAAGTAATAAGTCTAGCCATCACTGGTCCACGTTGTCCTTGTCTGGCCTTCAGGGACTGGCTTGGATAGCTCAGCAAGAGGCCACCACAAGCTCTCTGTGGACACAGTGGCATGTCCTGGCACTTTAGGTACCCAGGAGACGGATGGGACTGATGACAGTTTGGGGCTTGGAGATGCCTATGATATGGGTTCTACTTGTCACAATTTCCTCTTAAATTTCAACTCCACTTAATGGAAGGACTTGATACACAGCTCCTAATCATTCACCAAAGGAGCACTAACACCATTAATTTTATTAAGAAAGATGAGAACTAATATCTATATATTTACTCTGTGCCAGGCATCATTCTCATATATCATTGGCTGAAATATAATACTAAGAAACATGACCCCCATTTTACAGATGAGAAAAACGAGGTATGAAAAAGTTATGTAAAACTTGAGTAACAGAACTGTAATTCTAATCTTAGCAACTGCCCAAGAAAGCCTTCCATTAGATCTGAAGGATTACATGTGAATTAATTAAACATGACAGTCAAAATGTTTTCATAGACCTATTAAAATTATTAAAAAGGGTGACACTGTTAATGACCTACAGCTCACCTGAGGATATGTTTTTATTGATTTTTTTTAGAGAGTGGGAAAGAGAGAGTGCCTGGGTGGGGCGGGGGGAGTGGTAGTCCATTTCTCCTGATTGGAAGTACTGAAGCATAGACTGTATGTAAGCAGAGAACTTGGCAGTGATACTGTGGAAGCAATTTAAATTCTGGTGAGTATTGACTTATCCATGCAGAACTGGTTACATAATTTGCAAGGCTCAGTGCAAAAGAAAATGTTTTTTAAATTATTAAACATTATAAATTACTTAAAAACTAGAGGCCTGGTGCATGAAAATTCATGCAATGGGGGTCCCTCAGCCCAGCCTGCACCCTCTCACAGTCTGGGACCCTTGGGGGATGCCCACCTGCTGGTTTAGGCCTGCTCTCCAAGAACAGATCATCTAAAAGAAATAATCATATCCTTGGGTAAGGATTTTTTAAAAAGGTAATGGTCACATGAAAATTCACTGCCGGTGGGGCTGAGGGGACTGGGCGCTGCCATCTTGTGAGGGCATGATGGTCAATTACCATATTACCTCTTTATTATATAGGATTATTAAATATTTCAAGATGGTGACAGCAGAGCCTTAAACCAAGTGTGGGGCCCATGTAGGCATGGAGCTTTGGGTAACTGCATAGGTGGCATACCCAGGAAGCTGGCTCTATTTCCATATTATAAAAATCTGGAACTTAGGGACACATTTCATAAAGAACTAGAGGCCCAATGCACGAAATTCGTGCAAGGGCCTTGGCCCTGGCCCCCGCCCTCTGTCGCTGCTGCTGCGACTGGGGGCCTCTGCCTTGGTCCCCACCTGCTGTGGCTTTGTCCGGAAGGAAGGAAGGACGTCTGGAAGGACGTCCGGTCTAATTAGTATATTAACCTTTTATTATTATAGATTGCACTGGTAAAGTGAAGAGAATGAGAGGAGAGTTACAAGGGAGTGAAAAGAATTTCTGGAAAACATGATGTGAATGAAAGCATGCTGACAAATGAAACAGAAAGACATTGCAGTTCAAAATAATTTCGAGAGAAATGCAGCAGAATTGGGAATCGATTTTCCGAGTGCTACCTAGATGAGGGGTTGGTAGGTGCAGTTTGAGAAGATGAGACCAGAAGTAATAGAACAGCCATAGCTGGTGCTCATAATTCTTTCCCTTCATCAGCAAAGGCAGTCTTGTGATTACAGGGAGTCATAACACCGGGTTCTCACCTCTAAAGACAAACAGCCCAGGGAAAATTAATGCTGATCGAGGAGGGAACCAAACACACATCCACAACAGAAGAGCTACCACACCAGCTATCTAGGAAAATCCGCTCAGACCTTCATGCTTGAATATGAAATGACAACCAAGAATCATCAGACAGAGAATTACAGCAGCAACAATGGGAAAGAACTAAACACTCATAAAAAGGAATACTTGAGGGAACATAATTTAGTAAACAGACGGACCCCAGCAAGATGTATCCAAAGAGATGTCGGTGGGAACCCAGAAATCACGTGAAATCAGATAACCACTTAGCTGGAAAGACGGAACCAGTCTAAGAGCAGTAAGTTTAGTGGGTTCCTAATCTTCAAGAACAATTCATTGGATTTCAAGCAATAAAGACGAATGTAAAGCTGCAAGATCGTAGAGATATCGTGAAGGTTACAAGAAAAAGAATATCAGTTAGAAATGCTAGTAAAAAAATTGAAACGGTATAATGGAATCATCATTCAATAGAAAGCAAAATAAAGCACGAAACAATTTTGAGAGCAATATTAGAAGAGAGAGATCATTTCTTTATCTTGGTATTTCCCTCTTCATGTGACACAGCGGTCCTTGGCTGGGCGCTGGGGGCACGGACCCCCAGGCAGTCCGTCTTGGACGAGCTCATGCTATAGCGGGGGGCACACTCGTGGGTAAGGGACTCACGGGGGCAACTTCCGGTGAGTGGATGCGCAGCCACTGAAGCAGGACCTGCGGAAAGGTTCCCTTCCAGCTTCCCCAGGACCCAACGCTCAGTCGCTCGCTCAGCTTCCCCCCTTTCATCCGCGGCGCTTCTGCCTAACTGAGCCTGCGCCAACACTAACGCGCACGCGCCCACGCCGGTCCAATCAGAATCTCAAACCCAAATTCCAGGTGGGAGGACTCCTCGCGGGATGGGGCGGGATCTTCAGGCCGAACCACGGCCGTGATTGGTCGGTGGAGGGGACACACGTTCTCCTTTAGGCGAAGCCTCGTCCGCCGGCCAAATGTAGTGAACTCTTCTCCTAATTTGGGAAGGGTCCGGCGCGGGCCTGGGCGGGGCGGCGCCGAGTG